CCAAAGTTGATTGGAATAGAAGTAATAATCAAAACACATTCATCAAATCATCCTAAACATTCCCGGAAGTAACCTAGGTGGTTTAGCCTTCCATAGAATTCACAAAACACAAAACTTGAATAAAAACAATGTAATTCATAATAAACTCATAAACCAACTTGAAATCATAAAAATAATAAAATCTAATGATCAATCAATCATTCAACGATGAAATCTTGGAGAAGAAGTAACCAAATCTGGAGTTTGATGAAGATCCATTGGTTGAACGAGTTCAATTGTTGAATGATGATGAACTTGATGATTTGTAGCCTCGGATTCGGAAATTGATGATCAAAAACGCGTTTGGAGAAGGTTTGAATGTGCTTGGAACCCTCCAAAACGGTGGAAAATCTCAGGGGAGAAGTCCAAAATCGATTAGGGTTAAATCTCCTTTATATAGGTGTTGAAAAACTGATTTTCGGAGCTATTTTCCACGTCGGCGTCCTAGTAGGCGTCTTAGACGTCATATACAACGTGTAGACGTCCTTCGGGGTATTTTACATGCCTTCTGTCGTCCTTGATTTGCACTAGAAAATGGCCTAAAATGGGTAGGTGTCCTAGGGGGCGTCTTAGACGCTTTCTAAGACGTCCCTCATCTTTGTCACTCCTTTTTGGTGATGAAAACCGTAGAATCAGTAAAAACGCAAAACATGAAAGTTGTAGAAAATTTTGTCTAGTTTCCAGAACTTCGTCATTCATGTCAATTGGAGCTTTAGATCTTGATATATGATCAAAACATTGAAGAGTGGTCAAATTTCTCAGCACCATTTTTCTTCATTCCTTTAGCAATTCGTCTCCCACGCTTGTTAACTTCAGTTTGCTCGTTTTTCTTGCGGGTTCCGCACACTTTTAGTACAATATATTGACCTGCATATAAATTCCAACAACTCATCAAAGTAGTGTCATTCTTGGACAATTATACATCAATTCAACAGATTTGTGACAATTTAGTACATTCATAAAATAGACTTATCAAACCTCCCCAACTTTGTAACACACCAATTCTGGTATGATATTTATATTGTTATTTATTGTTATATTTCTTCAAGTTCTAAGGGTAACTCGACGAGTCAGTAGTTGAACTCGTCGAGTAGTGTCGTGATTTCGAGCACGTTTAAGTTGGCGACTCAGCGAGTCCATATTCCGGACTCGGTGAGTCCGCTAGTCTGGATGAAACCTAATTTCAAGGGTTTGCACCCTATTTAAACAAATTTTGGGGCCTCTAGTCAGCCCCCATCACCCTTCATAGCATCATTCTCGAAACCCTAGAGCCCTCTTTTCATTTTGTGTGATTTTGGTGTGTTCTTTGAAGATTTTGAGAGATAAAGGAAGGTAGATCAAGAGGAGAAGAAGGAGATCCTAGATCCTTAAGGAATTTTAGAAGATAGTAAGGTATATCTTGGCCCTTTTCTGTTTCTATGTTTAAATCTCCCTTTCGAAGCCATTAAAGCCATTCTTGAACCATTTCTTGGCTTAGTAGTAGCATAGATGACTCATGGAGTTGATTAGCCTTCAGATCTAGCTAGATTTGATTTCCAGGAGCTTAGATCTAGCACCTTTATGGATCCATTTTGCATGAAAGCTCTAGATCTACTATTATAGTGTGCTTTGAACCTTAAAAACTTCATTTGATGTTATTTACACGTAAAGTTGGAAACTTAACGTGTAAATCAAGTCCCAGGAACCCAGATCTATTAATGGTATGGATTGGTTTCAAGCAGAATCGAGTATATAGTGTTTGCATGCATACGACTCGGCGAGTCGTTCTTCTGACTCGGCGAGTCGAGTCGTGAGTTCCCTGATTTTCTTTTTTTGAGTTATGCCGAGTGGAACCAGTAAGTGAGAGATGGACTCGGTGAGCTAGAAGGTTAGACTCATTTGTGGAAGAACTCGGCGAGTTCAAGGTAATCTTCATACTTCAAGAACAGACTCGACGAGTTGTTCATACAACTCGGCGAGTCACAGCTAGAATGGTCATCTGATGAAGGAGAACTCGACGAGTTGTTCATGCAACTCGGCGAGTCGGATGCAGAATGTCGGAGTGTTAGTAGCAAAGAGGAACTCGCCGAGTTTGCGCCCAAACTCGACGAGTAGTAGCGAGTGGATCAAGAAAGTAAGAGTAAGGACTCGACGAGTTGGTGCCCCAACTCGACGAGTCAGGTTAACTGAATGTTGACTTTGACAGTTAGGTTGACTTGGACCAGGGGTAGGAGAGTCATTTTACCCTCAGTATTACTATTATCAGTATTTGATTGATGGTGCTCATGGATATTGTAGCGGGGCTGAAACCGGAGACGCAACAGACAGATTCCGGAGCAGTCCTTTCAGCAGTTAGGCTACGAGGTGAGTTTCCTTCCAGTAGGAGCGGGTCTAAGGCCACAATGTCGCCCCGTTTAGTTAGTAGTAGTTTCCGGACTTCGGTCCGATGCAGTTTTAGTGTGTTTGATGCTTTCGTGGCTCAGATAGGATTTATGTGTGATGTGTTCTGGGCTACGGCCTGACGTAGTATGCAGTATATGAGTTTATGATGATGTATGTTATGCTAGTTAATATGTGTTTATGCTATTGTATGATCAGTAAATTCCGGACTTCGATCCGATGCAGTCAGTTCCGGACTTCGGTCCGATGCAGCTAGTTCCGGACATCGGTCCGATGCAGGGGACAAGGTCCCAGTCAGTTCCGGACTACGGTCCGATGCAGTTTCTGGGCTTTGGTCCGATGCAGTAGGCAAGGCCCAGAATGTCCTTATATGTTATTGTATGGTATGTGGTAGTTTGGGGGAGCTCACTAAGCTTCGTGCTTACAGTTTCAGTTTTGGTTTCAAGTACTTCCGCAAGTAAGGGGAAGAGCTCGGGATGATGGCATCGCACACACCACAGCCTCAGTCTTTATCCTGGGAGTTTGTTTTGATTCGTAGTATGATTTGATACAGTTGTTTCACGATATTTTATTATGAGTTAAGATATTTGACGTATGGTTTCTATGATATGATAATCAGTATATGAGTTTTATTACTATTTAAACAAAAATTTTGGGTCGTATTTTGGGATGTTACAAACTTTATTCCAAACTTGTCCCGAGATTGGCCTGAAATAATCAGTGGAGTCTTAGGTGTTGTTTGTTTTTTTGAAACCAAAATGTCTGCAGTCTGCGGACCACATCTGCAAGCCTCTGCGGCAGAAGAGGTGGACCAAATGTCTGCAGTCTGCAATAAGAAGACTGTTTGTTTTTAACGTCTGCAGTTGTTGAAATAAATTAAATTTTCAAACTCAATTTCATGTCATAAAGATTAAAAATGCATTTTTCAGTAAAAAGAGAAATAAAATAAAAACGGGTGGTCTTTTTTTTTTTTTTTTTTTTGTTAAAATGAGGTCTGAAGACCTTTGAAGACAGTGACCCATGTCTGCGACAGGAAGACCTCGCGCAGACGTTTTTTGGTCTGCGCACTTCCAAAAAACAAACACTCTGCAAGGGCATATGTCTGCGCGTTGTCTGCGCGGCGCAGACAAAAGTGGTTGCGCAACTCTTCACGAAAAAAACAAACATCCCCTTACTCTCTTATCCTAAGAAAAACTCTATGGAATCACGAATTCCGTACATTTTATCACAATACTTTCAATAAGCACAATATATTGATTTTGGGGATTATTAGTTTCATATCCCGACCTTTAAACTCAAAACACATGTTATGCTTATTTTACTTTGTTGTTTGAAACCCTTCACTTTTTGAACCCTTTCCAATAATCAACCTCATGAGTAATCAGTTGAAGTCATTGCCAAAGTCCCCTTTTCAAGGTTCATTAACATAGTTAGCGCGGTCGGTAACACTTAATGGACCAACCCATACACTCCCGCTATCGAGGGGTCACATATTGTTTCAGACAATGCCTTCAACTTGAACTTTTCTTCATATATATCTTGATTGTGCATTTTTCAAGTTCTTTTATGGCTTCATCGGATTTGATCATTTTTGTATTTGACTTGAGCTTGATTATATATACTTTGAAGTTCTTCAATATCTTTTGATGCTTTTTGGTTGTGTAAAAACAATAATAGTCCCCTCCCAACCCCAAAGGCGCAGGAGTAAGTAAGACCAAGTACTCAGAGCGTGATGACACATATTGTTCGGTTGGGTCCTCAATTGAAAGATCGTAGGCTCGATCCAAAAACCTTCATTTTTCAAACACTTGGGTATTTCACATAACAATTTTTTAACTAAATATAGATATTACCACACCGACTGAGCAATCCACAAAATCAATATTAAATAAATATTATGACTCAATGTACGAAACTCCTATCATTTTCCATTTTGATGAGTTACATTCAAGATATAGAGATGCTACTAACTTATCACATATTTCATGGAACCAACCCAAGAGAGAATAATAATAATAATAATAGGTTCAAGATGGCAATACATTCATCCTAAGTTGATTATCCAAAAAAATCCCCAAAGTTAATGTAAAAGAAATTAAAAATATGGAGGACGACACACCTGATGGTACTGCTAGTAGAGGCGGTTTTGATTTCCAAAAAACTTCACTTTTTTTTTTTTTAAAAAAATCACTTTTTCTTCAATCCTCCATCTTTTTCTTGTGTACACCCCCTCCCCAACTTTAAGTATTGCATCGTCCTCGATGCATTAAAGATAAATTCCTAAAATAATAATAAAAAAACAACTACAAGCACACAAATCAAATAAAATAGAAATAAACTACACTAACTAGCCCTCAATTTCGTTGGGGTCCACGATTGCACTTGGCACGTGCAACAAGCCTTTTAAACCCCTAGGTTACCCCTAGTGGACGAGTGAAGTCTCGTGAGGGCTTGCAGTGAAGACACCCACAAAGTTCCAAAATTGCCAAGTTTAATGTCATTAGCGGGACGAGTTACCTCGAGTGATGTCTATGGAGGCTCATATATTCGTGGACTTTTTTAAAAGTCAACCATAAGGTTGCTCACCTTACTTTGAGGAACCTGATCATGTAGAAAACCTTTTTGGCCTTGTAAAAATCAACTTTTTTGTGTTTAATCCTTCCACAATGATGCTTAAACCTTGTTTTAAAGAGCCATGCATCTTTCCATCTAGTAAACTTATTTAATCGATGCTTGATAACATGTAACACTTTCATTTTTGATTTGTGGGCATGTGTTGCATCATGTTTTTTGTTCCACAACTTTCTTTCCATGTGTTGAATCCCACTATTACCCAATGATTTTGACCTGTTACACGAGAAAATTTTCTCCAAATCGAGGGTGGTGTCGGAGAGCATAGTTACGGTATGCTCATAGACATAATCATGAATAGTATTGATTACACGGTAACCACCACTGATTGGAGAATCATTAGTAGGTCCAAACACAAGACATCTCACCTTATGGTTTCCAAATAACATATCAATTGCACCTTCCTGACAACCAATCTGAGCATAGATGGTTGCCAATAAGGGATGGTCAATGATTAAATTTGTTTGTTTGTAGTTGGAAGAGTCCAAAGTTGGGGAGGGGTTTGTGGAGGCTAATACCATCCCCTACCCAATAATTTTGAAAAAACCTGAAACACAACTTTGAGGAACCTGATCATGTAGTGAAAATCAATTTTTTTTGCGTTTAATCCTTCCACAATGATGCTTAAACCTTGTTTTGAAGAGCCATGCATCTTTCCATCTAGTAAACTTCTATAATCGATGCTTGATATCATGTAACACTTTCATTTTTGATTTGTGGGCATGTGTTGCATCATGTTTTTTGTTCCACAACTTTCTTTCCATGTGTTGAATCCCACTATTATCCAATGATTTTGACCTGTTACATGAGAAAATTTTCTCCAAATCGAGGGTGGTGTCGGAGAGCATAGTTACGGTATGCTCATAGACATAATCATGAATAGTATTGATTACACGGTAATCACCACTGATTGGAGAATCATTAGTAGGTCCAAACACAAGACATCTCACCTTATGGTTTCCAAATAACATATCAATTGCACCTTCCTGACAACCAATCTGAGCATAGATGGTTGCCAATAAGGGACGGTCAATGATTAAATTTGTTTGTTTGTAGTTGGAAGAGTCCAAAGTTGGGGAGGGGTTTGTGCAGGCTAATACCATCCCCTACCCAATAATTTTGAAAAAACCTGAAACACAACTTTGAGGAACCTGATCATGTAGAAAACCTTTTTGGCCTTGTGAAAATCAACTTTTTTGCATTTAATCCTTCCACAATGATGCTTAAACCTTGTTTTGAAGAGCCATGCATCTTTCCATCTAGTAAACTTCTTTAATCGATGCTTGATATCATGTAACACTTTCATTTTTTATTTGTGGGCATGTGTTGCATCATGTTTTTTGTTCCACAACTTTCTTTCCATGTATTGAATCCTACTATTATCTAATGATTTTGACCTGTTACATGAGAAAATTTTCTCCAAATCGAGGGTGGTGTCGGAGAGCATAGTTACGGTATGCTCATAGACATAATCATGAATAGTATTGATTACACGGTAATCACCACTAGGGATGGCAATGGGGCGGGTTTGGGATGGGTTTTGGTAATCCCGCCCCCGTCCCCGAATATGAAAATCGATCCCATCACCGGCTCGATTCCCAACGGGTATCCGTTTACCAAACACTATCGGGTCTGCGGGTATCCCAACGGGGTAACGGGGATCCCCGTTTAACAGTCAAATTAAAAATAATTTTGATGAAATGAGAATACAAACCATTAGACTTAGTGATGCAAACATAAATTCATATCCAAAATAATTTTGATAATTTACAAAACTACTAAGAGCATACATATTTGTTCTGATACATAAGTGGTTACTAGTGGCAACAAAAACAATAAAGACACTAACATTCATAAACCATAATATCACTATTACTCTAAGTAATATGAATAAAAAAATGTCAAAACACTAACATTACAAATAAACACGAAGCTATCTCAAGAAATTATCTTTAAATCGTTCACAACAAAGAAGATAACTCAAAGAACATATATATATATATATATATATATATATATATATATATATATATATATATATATATATATATATATATATATATATATATATATATATATATATAATCATATTAATGGTTTCAGGTAACGGGTTTCGGTTTTGGGTTTGGTTTCGGGTAATCGGGACGGGTATTTTGTTTACCGTCCCCGTAACCAAACCCGTGAAAATTTTCTAAAAGCATACCAAACCCGATCCCGACCCCAATTAACCAACCCCAAACCCGACCCTAATATGTCGGTTTTCGGTTTTCACCATCGGGTTCGGTTTCTTTTGCCATCCCTAATCACCACTGATTGGAGAATCATTAGTAGGTCCAAACACAAGACATCTCACCTTATGGTTTCCAAATAACATATCAATTGCACCTTCCTGACAACCAATTTGAGCATAGATGGTTGCCAATAAGGGACGGTCAATGATTAAATTTGTTTGTTTGTAGTTGGAAGAGTCCAAAGTTGGGGAGGGGTTTGTGGAGGCTAATACCATCCCCTACCCAATAATTTTGAAAAAACCTGAAACACAACTTTGAGGAACCTGATCATGTAGAAAACCTTTTTGGCCTTGTGAAAATCAACTTTTTTGCGTTTAATCCTTCCACAATGATGCTTAAACCTTGTTTTGAAGAGCCATGCATCTTTCCATCTAGTAAACTTCTTTAATCGATGCTTGATATTATGTAACACTTTCATTTTTGATTTGTGGGCATGTGTTGCATCATGTTTTTTGTTCCACAACTTTCTTTCCATGTGTTGAATCCCACTATTAGCCAATGATTTTGACCTGTTACCTGAGAAAATTTTCTCCAAATCGAGGGTGGTGTCGGAGAGCATAATTACGGTATGCTCATAGACATAATCATGAATAGTATTGATTACATAGTAATCACCACTGATTGGAAAATCATTAGTAGGTCCAAACACAAGACATCTCACCTTATGGTTTCCAAATAATATATCAATTGCACCTTCCTGACAACCAATCTGAGCATAGATGGTTGCCAATAAGGGACGGTAAATGATTAAATTTATTTGTTTGTATTTGGAATTTATTTTAGAATCCGTTAGAACAAAAAGTTGTGTTTCAGGTTTTTTCAAAATTACTGGGTAGGGGGTGCTATTAGCCTCCACAAACCCCTCCCCAACTTTGGACTCTTCCAACTCATGAAAATCTTCATTATACTTATCCAATTCAATTTCAACTTCTTTGATTTCAGAAATACTCTCAGTCTCGTGATCATTTAAAGATACATAATCCTCCACCACATGCTCTAGTTCGGGTGGTGTAAGTTTATGCACTTTGTTATCAAATAATTTATCACTACATGGAAAAGTTACCTCATTCACCAGCGTAGTGTTTGAAAGATTGTCTGAAGGTTGTTGATTTAGGTTCTTAGTTATATGTTCTAATTGTTTTTCAATAACTGAAATTGACTTGGAGTTGTCTTCTTCTTTGTTGAAGGTTTCACTCAATATGTCCAGCATTTGATCCAACTTTTTGCTAAATGAAGATTCATCTGATTCATGGTCCTCCATAAAACAAGGTGATTCATGGTTGTGGCTTTGAGTTGAATCGTCAGTCCACCAACAATCATCATGATATGGATCATCACATGTATCATCATTATATGACTCATAGTAGAGATCATTATAACATTGATATTGGCTTGAATTTTCTCTCTCCCACCACATATCTTGATTCAATTCTTCCATTCACCACTATGCCTACAAAAAAATAACAGTAAATGAGTGAAGATTCTAAACTAAAAATAAAACAAAAAAAATATAACAACTACATCAACACAATAATTCAAGTGCACAATCTCCACGACAACGGGCCAAATTTGGATCGAGGTCATTGTCTCAATCAAAAATAACCTCAAAACCACTAGATAGCAAGGGTAAGTAAGTATCGGATCCACGAGGAGTTTGTGGTCAAACTTTGTGTTATAGTAGTCAATGAAAAAGAACTAATACTTGCAGTTGTCACGAAAAATATTTAAACTAAGATTTAAATAAAAAAACTAGAAACTTTATATTGCAAACGATTACCAATGAGAAAAACAAGCTTACTTCAGGTTCAATGTCAGATGATTAAGACTCACGTGTTTATCTTCCCTTAAATTCCAATTTAAGTACCTAGACATAATTAAGATCAATTAACATGCAATAAATAACTTTGGGCACACAATATGTTATTCCTACTAATTGTCTTACTCTCTATGTATAAATGGATTAGGAACAATGAGTGGCTTGACAACATTGTGTCTTATGATTACCAATTACAATGTTTAGTATTTAAAATCATAAGTTTGGAATAGTATATGTTGATTCAACCGATCGTGTTAGTTCCTAAACTATATGAATTCAACAGGATTAGTGAATTGACAATAAACTATCCTAATTGTAAAATTAAACACATGAATAACACCCAAATTCAATTATCATTAATAGAAATCATAAATTTAAGACCATATAATAACCAAAGTTGATTGGAATAGAAGTAATAATCAAAACACATTCATCAAATCATCCTAAACATTCCCGGAAGTAACCTAGGTGGTTTAGCCTTCCATAGAATTCACAAAACACAAAAATTTAATAAAAATAATGTAATTCATAATAAAATTAATAACCCAACTTGAAATAATAAAACTAATAAAATCTAATGATCAATCAATCATTTAACGATGAAATCTTGGAGAAGAAGTAACCAAATCTGGAGTTTAATGAAGATCCACCGGTTGAACGAGTTCAATTGTTGAATGATGATGAACATGGTGATTTGTATCCTCGGATTCGGAAATTGATGATCAAAAACACGTTTGGAGAAGGTTTGAATGTGCTTGGAACCCTCCAAAACTGCGGAAAATCACAGGGGAGAAGTCCAAAGTCGATTAGGGTTAAATCTCCTTTAAATTGGTGCTGAAAAACTGATTTTCGAAGGTGTTTTCCGCATCGGCGTCCTAGTAGGCGTCTTAGATGTCATATAGGACATGTAGGCGTCCTTCGAGGCGTTTTACATGCCTTCCGTCGTCCTTGATTTGCACTAGAAAATGGCCTAAAACGCGTAGGCGTCCTAGGGGACGTGTTAGACGCGTTCTAGGACGTCCCTCATCTTTGTCTCTCCTTTTTGGTGATGAAAACCGTAGAATCAGTAAAAACGCAAAACATGAAAGTTGTAGGAAATTTTTTCTAGTTTCCAGAACTTCTTCGTTCATGTCAATTGGAGCTTTAGATCTTGAGATATGATCAAAACATTAAAGAGTGGTCAAATTTCTCAGCACCATTTTTCTTCATTCCTTTAGCAATTCGTCTCCCACGCTTATTAACTTCAGTTTGCTCGTTTTTCTTGCGGGTTTCGTACACTTTTAGTACAATATATTGTCCTGCATATAAATTCCAACAACTCATCAAAGTAGTGTCATTCTTGGACAATTATACATCAATTCAACAGATTTGTAACAATTTAGTACATTCATAAAATAGACTTATCAATATTGAGTACAAAAAAAATTGACCAAATAAGAACAAACTCAACAGTTGGTTACCCTCACGAGTCATTTTCCCTGAAAAGTTAAATGAAAGTAGTTACAAAATTATCAAAGACTGCAACCTTCTTTGGACATAACATATATGAAAAGCGTTTCGAAGGGGTAACTTCGTTAAAACATGGTCTATGTTATGTTTACAGTGGTTAGCTGTCAACAA